ATTTAGCTGGTTGAAGTATTAATCTAATCAAAGAAGACTAGGAGAAGATTGCATAGAGCACAAACATACTAATGGATGCATAGTATCTGTTATGCTTTCGATCTAGGCTATGAGCTTATTTAACACTATTTTATCACTTGCATTTGCTTTCGGTAGATCACCAGAAGTCAAACTCGGGCCCACATCTACAAACACCTAATTATAAACTACAAGACAGCAATACCTGGGCTTTCTTCGAAAGGAAAAGACCTAGACTGCAACCTGATAACGCGCCTTTTCTGGTCCCCCCGCCGTGGCTTCTGACGGCAACATCTGCTCAAAGTATCGCCAGCTTGTTGAGAAACATTTGCCCTTGGGTAGACAGCCCACACAGCTTTACCTACGTTCCCATTCCACCACCCTACGCCATCTTCTCGTCTTTTTCGGGGTCGCTGGTCAGTACTCCCGATGTGGACCGTTTGCAACAGCAACAGGAACAAAAACCCGAGAAAAAAGGCGGAAATAACGATGGCTCAGATGACGACGAGGAAGAGGCAAGGATGGCTGAAAGAGCGTCACTTGAGGTCTCTCCACCGGACAGTGCTCACGCGGTGCTTGAAAGGAACATCCCCCACCTCAGCAACAGCATCTTCTCGATTTCTGCTCTCACTGCTAACGAGGAAATGAGGCGCCGAAACCATCTGGACCGGTCAACTCCGCCAACAATTATTACCTAAGAGGCCCGTGATTCTAGAAATTCGTTAACGCATTGCATTTTTTTTCACACACAAACGCAAACAGCAGAGTGACGCCAGTGCTTGTGTTTAATGCTGCAAATATCGTGCTCTCTTCCATTCAAGCAAGCCGGTGTATATCGGCTACCACCATACTGTAAACTAGCTGTAGTAATGTTTTAGCCAAAATCACATTTGCCTAACAAATCACCATGTATATATTATCTTCAAGCACAATTCATTCGGTTAACTGTTACACAAAGTTAAAAAGGATTGATTCAGGAAAATAGTGCAGTACAGTAAATTCTATTTGCTTTTTCTTACAATCTCAAGGGTGATTGGTTGATTTTTCTCGCGGGTGCTTCATTGGTTACTTATAAAACTGCACAGAACTGTATTCTGCTTTCTTCATGGATTTGCAATGATGCAAAAGGTACAATAATTAAGGTGGCAAAGCAGGGAGATATTGATGGAAAGATTCCCTACATAACTGACCAGACTCCTATACACCTCCAATTTAGAAGTCAACTGCGAGTAATCCTAAAAAATTCAATCCAGGAAACTGACCTCGAACTCTTCGAATAAAGCACATCTATCCAAAGTGGCTTTATTTACTTATTGGCAAAATTTAGATATCATAACACCACTTTAAGTTGTCGTTTGTACGGGTTCTTCCTACACCTTGATACGAACATTTCTTTGGAGATCGTAAATGTTAAATTATAAAAATAATGTAGTGGCACAAAATAACAAACGAGCACTAAATTGGCCAAACCGTTCTAAGGTATGCGTTTACGTTAAATACTCTAGGTAGCAAAAAGTTGGAATGACGATAAAATTATTTATTAAAATTTTTAACGAGGCATTTTAAATATTAGAGTTAAGTTACCCTGATGAATGCAAATCAAATCTCAAGGGCAAAAAAGAAAATGGTGAATTAAAGAATGAAGCCTAGAGCTCGAGAGATTGCCCACACGTACAGCGTTTGGGTGGTCGTGAAAGAAATTAGCATGGATAACGTATACAAAAAGGCGTTAACCAACAAGAAGGAAGCTGAAGATGCGTAAATATTAGGCAGTGCATAAATTGTATGGAAACTGAGTGAGAATGGACGCATTAGGTAGAATAATGACATGCTATAGACCAAAATTTCCTATGTCTTTAACTGTAAAGTGCCTTCTCAAAATCAGTGTGGAGAAGAAAAGTAGCACATAACCCCCCAATAAGCATGACAAAAGTACTTCAAGTCTGTTATTGTAATGATATGCTCTGGTTCACACGTTAACATGCATGTTGTTTAGTAAGGAGACAACCACCAAAAAGCCAAATCTGAGATAAATAAAAAATGAAGGAATTCGCTTTTGACTAACATCGTGCGTACGTAGGCCCGACTTCTTTTGTAACTGCTTGTCATGAAGACAGGATCACTTTCAGGACATCCCTGCTAACCCTAAGCACGAGGACGCTTTCGAAAAAGAAGATGCTTTAAGAATGAGACGACCTTGATGAGTGCATATAAGCAGCATTATTTTTATATTTTGTGTAGCTATTAAGCATGGTGAACCAACAATTTTCATGTTATGTAATGGTTTCATCGACAGTACCAGATGAGTCGATTTCGAGAAATCTGCCTTTTGTTCGGAAGTGGTTTAACTTGTCATCTACGTGCACCATTACTTAAAAACGATTTCCCGATTATTCCCCTCAGTGCATCCGAATAATCGGTAAAATCCGCACACAAAGAGTCAGAGTAATGCTATTTTTACTCAGTGTAATGAATCATCTCATCATAATTTTCCGGAATAACTCATTAAACTTAACTCATGTGACATTTTTTGTAAGTGAAATACAATACATCTTTTGAAATAAATGCTCAAAGACCAAACCATATGCTCCGTAAATAAACACCCCTATAGTTCAACAATTTTTTCTCCTCTACTGCCACTGGGTTGCTAAAAATTATATAAAGAAAAGGCACTACAATTGACTGGTAGATTTGTACTTACCTATATAAAATTACATTTTTTTCATTTTTGGTACAACGATAAAGAATGAACACAATGAAAAATCATACCTAACTTCGGTTTGCTTAAAATTTCCAGGGCTTATGAACATATCTGCTTAAGAGACTCAACTATCACGAAAATATTAAAACTCTTGTTTAACGTCAATAAAACTTGGTGTGTTAATACCATCTCAGCTTTTTATCATGCAATGAGTTGCTCTTTCTATATTATGTATGAATACATTTATTGACCTCCACCTCCAATTATTCATTATCTCACCTGCTTTGTGAAAAGTAGAGCTAGTATTTAAGGAAAAAAATTACCAGACCATTTTTAATTATCGCTTCAAGACTATAGTCTATAAATAAGCAAAGTTCTGACTTCTCTTGACAGCTTCTAATATTTCTTGCTGCTTGAAGTCCATAGGGCCTTTGCGAGATTAAGTTACCAGCATATTTAGCCAGGACAAAGATATTACGGACAGAGTTTTAAAAATTGCAGAAGTATGTAAAATGTTAAAATTTTCGAAACACCACAAATCAAAAATGCATGTGGAAAAAAGTCTATCTGAACAATCGCAGAAATCTTCTTAACACTTTTAAAGACAATAAATTCTAAACAATACAAATGGAAGACAGATACGAGAAAGACATGCGTTAAATAATGAGATTTAATGATTTTGTCAAAGAAACAAGTCGTGTTACAAATAAAATTAAATTATATACCAAGGAAGTTTGCTATAAAATAGATCGTAAAAGGCACTAATATTGTTTTTTTAATGCACCGGCAGCAATCATTAAAACGAAACATGCGCAAGTGGTGCTTTCGCAAACTTCTATTTGTTTAATTACTTCAGTTAGAAGTAACCAAATTTGGTTGTAGACTTGTCGTGTGGTATGATATCCCCTTCGTGCCTTGCGGTACCTGCGCATTATGCAGACGTTTTGTTAAAAGATAAGGAGTACATCTCGGTAAACCTTAGCAATGAATTTGTTGAAACAAGTGTGAATGGTAATACGCTTTCCATTAGAGTGCGTGTTTGCCCTAATGAAGGGGGTCGCGAAAGTAGCGGAAATTTTTTTGCATAAATGTTTAGTTAAGGCTATATATGGAGATGGTGTCGAAGAACCAGAGATCTACGTTGAAAATGATGATTGGCATCAGTTCAATGTAGCTGATTATGTATGTAGTGTCATTATGGTTGACAAACCTTTCGTATTTATAGGCAAAGCTTCGGTCGAAGGCGAGCCTTCTTGTTGCAACCATCGGAGTTGAATTTGGAAAAGAATTACAGAGATATTTTGGGTTGTCATTTATCCCTGACGGCTTTGTCGATTTCTGCCTGAACAAGGGCTCGGGTGCTACTATTATCATCGATAATGACTCGAATGTTCGCTGCTTCTCCTTATTTACTTCCAGTTACATACTTTTTTCCCTTTAGACGGCTACGGAGTGGAGTACATATTTGAAAGGAAACCAAATCCCATGATATCTCTTAATATATCTAACCATGAGTGAGTTCACTCGTGTTGACTAAGTTTTTAAGCTTGCATCAACAATTTTCAGTAAAAGTTTGTTGGAGTGTTCAATTTGATCCAATCGAGTTTGCCAACAGCCGTATTCTTGCCATGAAAGAGGCCTCTGAATTGTTTGACGATGTTTTGCGCGTACTTAGTAATCAGTACGGCTGCGGAGCGAATGATGACGACCCAGATCCTTATTTTTTGATCAACAACACGCGACAGTGTTTTAGAGGTAGGCGTACATTTAAGTCAGTATTTTTTCAATGTATTTTATGCTAAGCAAGGTTTCCTTGCAAGCAAATCTGTGTTGATATGAATTAAATGGTGCTCGTTCGATTCACGAATCACTACAAATTTCAAACGAGTTTCCGCAAATTCTTTGAAGTATATTAATCTGTGACTGTTTACTTTTATACCTTTACCTTTTACGTTCACTTGTTCTAAGCAAAATTGGATACAAAAACATTTGCGAACATTGTGATTTCGAAGTTCAAGGTACATGGCGACAAAGTTGGACAGAAAGTATTTCCATTATCTGACCTGAAATTTGGGGACCTTATTAACTACATCGAGACTGCTTAATGATTCTTTAAAACTTAACATTTGGATGTTTTCCGATTTTTTAACCCTTAATGTCAGAATAAATGTGCCCTTATATGACTGCCTGGTTCAATAATACACCATGGGGCAGTTTATTCACCAGGAGTGCGTGTTGACGTGTTTGTCGATTACGTGCAAATAAAGAAAATTAACTGGGTGGTGACTGATGAAGAGAGTGGAGTCACAGATGTCGGCAAATATATTGAGACGTGCTTCTGCTGAAACGCTCCCAGTGTTACCTTTTTATGTAAATATTGTGAGACTAAGTAATTACTAGAAGGGTAGTTCAGTGAAGAAAATGAGTCTTTTTTGCCAGAGCGCGACAAATTACTCCCCATACTTGTTTCATCGTTTCGGATTGTCAATAATTTCTTTTCCTTTTCGAGCACCGTTAACACATACTGTGTGCGCTCTCTTTACGCAGTCTGCAAATCAATGTGTAAGGAAGCACAGCGTATGATAGTGTGGCGTATTCACTTTGAGGGGTCACACACTGAATGCTATGTCTGGTGTAACTGCAAGTGTATGGTAGTCTGCTGTTTTTGAATGTCATCTTGATTATATGTGCAGGTCTCCGCTTTTTAAAGCCTTCCAGAAGTTACAGTGCATTAAATAGGCTGCCCCCAGCTGATTGTTTACAAGTCAGATGACGGTGTAATTTTCCACAATATTCACTAACACCGTTTCATGTACAACACGAGCTAGACAAGTGGTGGTGTTTCAGGTTAATTTATTAAGCCAGTTGAGGCGTGCGGTATGCATGCTAGTGAGCTGATTAAGCAAGGTTCGTTTGTTTACGATCTTAACTAGCAAATGTGACCATTGCATTTGCGACCTTACATGTCGGTGATATCAAGGCTTTTTGTTTATTGTAGCATCAAGTTGTAACGCGGCGGATACGGTAATCCGGTTCTTTTTTGTTCGAGATGTCACCCAGGATTCTAAGTCAACTGTAAAGTAGATTTTGCGTTAGCTTCCGTCTGACTCAATATTTAATAACCATACCGGTGGATAATTACAACTTGGGTTGGGTATATTGGAATCAATTCAGGGCTTGAATAGGATATGTATGCGCTCAACTAGTTGGACTCTGGGACTCTATGTAACCAAAGTAGACTTCTCTGCTTAGATAAATTATTTTGTGCAATAAATATCAGAAAGTTAAAAGTTAGCCACAGAGTCTGCAGTCTCTTAAGAATTTAAGTCAGGCCATCACAGGCTCGTGATGTGATGGCGTTAACGTTGAAGTCCCAGAGCAAGTTTGCTTACCTATTACAGACTAGGAGCACAGTGTTCCTCGCTTTATAGGGCTCAATTTTTGGAATAGCATTTCTTTACTGGACTTGCTATGATGGGGTAAGGTGGGTTGGAAGCATTAATTGTCACGTCAATTTAATAAGCTATAATGGTGGCATAACTCCGTAAACTTTGAAGTTTCTAACGGGAGTGAAGACTTCTATCCGAATTAAAGGCATCACGCTTCCATTGTTACTACATACGCAAGGTGCAGTATCGTCTTAAAGTGTACCTGCTGGGAAATGTTTATTCGCCACACTAGGTTGTTCCGGTCCTTCAAGCTCTGGTTCTTACGTTGTACATCGTTTATATGATTGAATGCTCTGCATCTGTGTAGAAGGCAGCTGCTCTACAACCCGTATTTGTTGCCACCAACAGAAGCCGAGGCAAAAAAGGTGGACGCACAGTGATGCGAACCAAAAGGCGATCGCTCATCAACCTGGCAGGCACGTGCATACCTCACGATTAAAAGCTTAATGCAATGGACGAAATTAGTCGAGAAAGGAGCAGGTTCCTTGAGGTCAATTAAAGGAATCCGTAAGCTGCATTTTCGATCCCAGACACTAGCAGAGCTTAGATGCACAACAATGAAAGCCACCTTTTTTCTCAAAAGGATTGCATTGAATTTTAGGAGGGGAATCAATTACCAAAACAGGTGGACATTCCTGGATTTAGCACTACATGATAAAAGGGCTCTCCACAGAGAATTCCATAACCGCCCTTTACAGAATCATAGCATAATTTGAAGTGAAATAGATCTACGTCCTCCATCTCTCTAATAAAGTGGGATAAAACAGATTACTACACGGTAGATAAAGTCATTATTCCACGTACTCTTATGAATTTTGTGTATGAATATACCACGTCTATTTTTGCGACACTTGAGTTTACCGTGTCCATGGCTCACAGATTGATTCTGATCGCATATTTGACCGTTACTGTGCCGTATATTATTTACTGTCAGGCCAATGTGTACATAAACTAGCAAAGTGGACGTGGAACTCGGTCTTCTCTCCGACACAGTCAGAGCTCTTTACTCATGACCATAAGTTTGGCTCTTGAAATTGTTTAAGACAAAGGATTGATGCCACCCTACTTACTTCTACACTGATCTTCTGTCAAGTGTAAAATTGGTATGCATGCATATGTAAACACGAGTAGGGCGCTTTTCTAGTACCTATGCAGAGATTTAACTGAAAGGAAAAAGGTGTGTTTGCTAGAGCTTTAAATACTGCAGGATTCTGACTATATACTCTTAACATTATCACGATTTTGGATTTGTAAAGGACTATGTTCCATTAATTTAATTGAATTAATTTAAAAAACAAAAAAACCTTTTCATAATATCATTTGAGACGCTTTCCATCAATAAAATGTAGTCAATCCATTTGTTCAATTTAACTGATTGGGATGTAGATATTTGCGAATCAGTTAAACAAATGTATAACAATGCTAAATATATGACTACTAGCAATTTTTTACGCTGATAAATATGTGTGGTTGTGCCTGAGACCGAAATTCAAATTTCATTGTAACGATTCCTGTAACGAGTAGTCCAAATGAACAATGAATCGATGAATGATGTAAAATCGTAGGCATGTATCTAATGCAAGTTAACAAAAGTGTGCGTACAATTTGCATTAGACCTCAAAATTGATTTTACTGGTATTTAAGTCTATAAAATTACAGAAAACTGGAGTATTTATGTAGTAGTTATGATAAGTTTAAAGGTTTCTTTCGATCGCGAAACTGATTTCAGTTTAAGAACATACTGGTAAATATTTTGAACTACATGCGTATATAATGGTAAAACTAAAACAAAGAGCTGCTGAGAAAGGAGGGATGTGGTTTTTAGGAAAAGGTAATATAAAGGGTACATTTTCTGCGTAAGTCCATTCTCCAAAAAGTTGTGCGGAAAAATTTAAATTTGGAAATATATCGTGTTACGATTATTTCGGTAAGTTAAATCTGGTTCTGGTTATCATCACATGTGTCTCAAGTAAAGCATGTTTCCGATGAGTAGTCTGAAAGCATTTGCGGTTATTTCATCGGTGGCTATGAGTGCATATCCCAAGAGCCCCAAAAAACTAGTATATGTAACATGTCCACGTAGGGAGACCTAAATGCGTAGGAAAATATAATTCCTTCCCTCACAGATAAACATACATTCAGGGTTGACCACCTGGCATTCAATGAATAACTGGTAGAAGACATAAGGTGTACTATAGACTATTGCGTACAAATTCAGGGAAACAGATCTTTAGAAGAAGAAGAATAAGGGGAAAATTAGAAAAGAATGGCCGTACGGAGGGTGAAAGTTACCCTTATAATCACGGGCATGCCTTCCGGAAGGTAAGTTGTTGGTAAGGAACAGGAGGACGAAAAGTAGGCCTGACAGACGTGCGTTAATCAGGATGCACACTTCATACGTAGTCAACCGGAAGAGCGGGGGTTACTTCGATGTTAGTTTAGCATAAAGCACAACAAGGTATTAATTTTCTGGCGTGATTTTACTTTGGTTCCACCGGACGTAGTGCTCAGACGATGGTTAAGGCAATGCCCTAAAATAAGATTTAGCATCAGTAAATAAAATCAACAGAAACTCTAAGAAAAAGAGGAAATTATTTATTGCGATCTGCATAATTAAAGCAGAGTTGTTTGGTTGCAAAAGTAAGAAATTTGCATTTTTGTGTGTTAGAATTAGAAGAATGGCTGTTATTTGGACTCAAGTGCCAAAAAATCATTTTTTTCAAATGACGTTTGCTTTGTAGTGCCTGCTTTGATCACATTGCAGCCCAGATCGCCATCAGCCCGTTGCAACTCATGACTCAAGGGAGAGGAGGGAAGGTGCGGCCAATTGTTTGAGCTAAACCATCCAAGTGCATGGGCACGTGTAGAAGTGATAATCGATTGGCAATAGCAGCAAATAAAAGATAGGAATGAATCATTACACAAATCAACCGGCACAAATTTAAATCCCAAACTTTCGCTGATTGCTACACACAACTATTCGTTTCACATTTAAAGATTTTTTTACTAAAATATGGCGTCATAAAACAAGAAATATTTTGTTTATGCATTTTTGGTATCTAAAGAAATAAAAGGTGCAATTACTAATGGTTCAGTTATTTAATGCCTGACTTTGCTTAAAGTGGTCACAGCAGTATGATCTTGCAACCAATTGGATCATAGGCGCCAAAATTAAGTGAGACGTTCGAAAATGTTTGTGACTATTTATGTGATGTTGTTACTTTCCCTGACTTCTGACTACTTTTTGATTGTAAAGTAAGAAAGTAGACTTCGTCTAATATCTCATAGAGCTGAAACACCTAATGTAGACTCCGAGAACTATATATATTTCAACGTGAGTGGATGTCTCGCCTTCTTTGCCCGGAGAATTGATGTAATTATAGCAGATAACCCAAGTGTTAACTTCACGATAAAGCCGGTACTTACTGGCGGCAATTGTGGCAATGGCAACATGTCAAGTCTCAGTTTCAGTGCGAATACTTCCTCTGTGGTTCTTCCAGCCGTCGATTTTTCGTATGTTCTAACATTGTGAATCACGTTTCTAGGTTCCAATTTGCTTCTTATCAAAATGGATACTGGGGTCTAGATTCATCAAAAGCTATGTATAATGCTACTACGTATAAGCTTGCAATGGAGTGGCCACAGTCACCTATTTCCATGGGCTTCAAGTGTTCTAACATGGCACAAATAGTTGCTTTAAATTCGACTCCTCGTGTTGAATTTTCTTTCACAGGTCTGCAGGTATGTAAGCCTTTTTTGCTTTCTTATGATTATAGTTTCCTCGTGTTATATTTTCTGCGGGTCTTTCTGTTTTAACAGGTTCAACCCTTCGGTATATCAGATGGTATCTTTACGGAGGCTACTGATTGCATTGGGTTCCTCAGTTCCGAAATTCTTTCAAGCCTACTTGTTACCTTCCTTCTCCTTGGAATTTTCACGTATGGTCTTGTCATGGTGATGGGTATCCAAACAAACGATTCATTCGACGACCCCAAGCACAAAGTGACTCAAATATTCGGCACCACTGACTAAATTCTTTGTGATCTTCAAGCATAGGAGGAGTTCGTAATTTCGTCATGAACATTATTTGTTGTACATTCCTTTGTCGCCGCATGCGCAATTCTGCCAATGTTATTGAAGTAGTACATTTAATTGGAAGCAGTCATTTTGTCCGTGCAGTCTTTCTCAGTTTTATTCTCAAGTAACTTTTGAGACAATATTTTGTTATCATGACGATTTATTGATGTTGTCTGTGTCTATTTTCATTCGCACGATAAGGCTGTACAACTGCACCAACGCATCAATCAATGAAACCACTGTAACTTTTGAACATCAAAACTTTATTTACACGGAGGGTTAAAAGTTTTCAAATTAGTCTTTGTTTTCTTCGACACCCCATAGCCAAACGAAGTCGGCGCCAGCAGAAAGGAGAGAGTTGTTGGTAGGATGTGGAGAGAGTGAGTGAATAAACGGGATGGAATTTGCCTTGTCCGCTATTTCGCCGATTTCAGATGACCAGGCAGGTGAACCAATTGAATGATCAAGATATCCACTTGGAGGCCCTCCCACCAGAACGTCCCACATAAGTACCCGATCACCTTCTTCGGAACCACTTGCTATTTGAGCGTCGTCGTTCATGAGGCAACAGTCGATCCTGTAAAAGCGGCATTTATTTTTCAGAAGTTGTGTAGTGCGATCCTAGGCTTAAACACGGCCTTCGTTTGAGCTGAACGTTTGCACAGATCCAGCTTTCTTAACAACTTACGTATTTTAATAAGTTAAGGTCATGAATTTTACGCGTGAGCGCACTTCCGATTGACACATCCATCTTGTCATTACGAAAGGGAGATACACGATGGCACTAGTGATGTTTCACATTTGGACCTTTAAAAGGACAATCTATTTCAGCTTGCCATGCGATCCAAAAGATAGGTCCCTAGAACACAAGGAAATGAGTTGATCTGTGTAATTACGTATTAGGACTGAGGGGTTTCGGCTTGACCTTGAACTGACATTTGGTAAATTATGGGGGTCGCAAGGGGATATTATAAAATTGATCGAAAGTGCAAGCTCGCCTCTCTCGAGATTCGGTCCTATTGATTTTAGCTAGTGGTTTGCCATGCGTCATTCAAGATAAAGTGAGAATTCTGTGGGTGCTCGTTAGTTTCGTTGACAAAATTACATAATTGGCGAGACCTTGACGTTACCTGAAGTCCTTGTTCGCATGACCAGAGTACTTGTTAAGCAGTTCACCGTTTGTGTAATCAAAGAGTCTCACTATGGAGTCTTGAGAAGCTACGAGCAAACACTGCCCATCAAACGAGAGACCAACAGAAGTGACTGGATATCCGATGTAATCTTGCGTCATTTCACCTAAAGGAGATAAATAAAGCTAAGGCAGTAGCGAATAAGCATGCGTAGCTCCTTCAACTATAGGCTTTGTGCTATAAAACACTAAGCAATTGTTATTAAAAGAAAAGTGACCTTCTAACAATAACATTTTAGTTCAATTCGAAGACACTTTGCCACTTTTTACCACCTTTGTAGTTTTAGCTTGCCTGAAACCTGATCTCCAACAGCAAAACTAAGCCAAGTGAGGTTTCAGGTCAGCATTGCCACCCAGAGTTGTGCGAAGGCGGTGGTGCGAGACGAGGGGTAAATGGAGAATACGATACTGCTTCTCAAACAAGCTTCACGTGTTACTAAAGATGCGTGAAACCGTGGCGCTACAGAAATCCCCAGCAGATTGCCAGTTCTGGTCATTTCTCCTTGATTACTTCGTTGGCTGTTGGCAACAAGCACCTTAATTGATCACTTGGCTCCTTGGAAGCAACCCAAAATACGCAACACGTATGTACTCCCACAAGACTAGCAAAATGACCTTTCACCGATACAATCCGACCCTCGATTTGATTGTTGGTGCTTCACCACACTTTTTGACTATGGGAATTTCGGGTCTTTGTTTATGGAAACGATATACTTCTTTTACTACCCAAAACTAATTCACCGTGTCAAATGAAGGTCCTCGCGCAGAACCAAAAAATGCAGAGCTTCATAAGAAGTTCAACGAAGTTTAAAGTACGTACTATTTTGATGATTGATGCTCTAACAAGATTTCACAATCTCTCACATTTACAATTTTCGGTTTTGATTGGGTTATAACCAACTTCAACAAGTCGAGCAGACTGTGGGTTATCTTTGAATGGAAAATCGCCAAGAATGAAATTCTCAAATCAATTCTGACACGCGTCGTATGAAGTTATCAGCATCATTTGCTGCACGTACCCTTGCGAGCACCAGTAGCTCCCTTGCTTTTACGGAATTAAAAATCAAAATTTTTTGTGCCTGTATTAAAACAGACCCTAGCCTAGCGGATGCAAGCAAAAGTATTCACAATTTGCCCTAAAGAAAGACAAAAGTGACATCTCTTAAATGTCAAAATCCATGAAATTGATAATTCTACTTTATCTGTAGTAAGTTAGGTTGCTTTCTTACCAACCCGTACTTATCAAAAATTCTACCTATTTATCGATATTACAGCACTTAACATTATTGATATGACTAAGTCACCAAGGTCAAAGCTGAGAGTTTTGCGATGAAAAATATGTTTTTTTTTATAAAAATATAAGTGGGTATGGGCATGAAGGCGACCAACATCACCTTAATCTAACCCCCTTTCTACAAACATTGTTAACCGGGGGTTGCAGAGGTTGATTGTGCTACTAGTCATAGGGTGCACCAAATGTGTGCATTTGGTGCAGACAAAAAAGCTAGTGATTTACTACCTTTACGAATGTCGTAAATGCGAACACATCGGTCAACAGATCCAGTGATTATTTGCCATCGACGTACTGCGAGACAGTTGACGCTATCCTTTGCTTCGTGCATGGTCTAAAAAACACAAGTTTAAAAGGTGCAATTACCCACAAACAACCACAAAAAGTTTGCCGACAAAGGTCCTAATGTTAACCTCCACACTCCAATTCCCGGTGTATTTCGCCAGAAGCACGTGAAGATGCCACGTAAAAAATACACAGCCTGGAGAGCTTCCAGCAGATTAAAATTCATCAAGGTGTAATGTTTGCCATGTTGTCATTATCTGCCAAGTTATCTGCGTGCTACTTTCTAATTTGCGTGTCTGTAATCTTTGTTTACAGGTTAGGAATAAGCATATGGTTTGTGTTTCCAGGTTGCGTTTCGGTTTTCAAGTACTCAACCTCGGTGCGTTTGACTAAGGGAATAAAGAATTACTAAACTGGTATTATCGTCACCACACGCGTTGATGTGGGCTAGTGAGTCTAAGTGCACACCTCGACAATTGGGTCCGTTAACACGCTTCCGTAAAGCGGGTTGGGTAGCAGGACCACCTCGACGATTTAAAAATTATCAAACCACAACGACAGGATGACCGAGGTTTATCGGTAGGTACGGAGAATCAGATTCAAATTTAGGTAGCCAGCGCGTAATCTGGAGATATCTGTTTAACTGGAGGCATACCTTTGAGGTCAGCAAGGCAAATTCCTAGGCAAACTCTGAATTAATAAACAAATTGAAGCCAGTGTATGTGGGTTATAGTAACAACAAACAGGTCTAAAAGCCAAGTGACTAACTTGAATGGGATACGGTGTTCTAGATCTCGCATCCCAGGCGAGCAGCATGCCATCAACACCTACGGAGAGAAGAAGACTGGACGCCAGGGGAACCTCACCCTCGTCATTCGAGGGTCCTGCGAACTTGACGGCGTTTACCCGACCAACGTGCTTGCGCCATCGCCGCAACGCCTGACCCGAGACGACATCCCACAGCACCACCAAATTGTCCGCACCGCCGGACCCCAGCTGGCTGTTATCACTTGATGCCTACAGTTAAAATTATTTATACAGGATGCGGTGACAAAATAGAAGGGGAATTTATGCAGCCTATGTCGAATACCTGGTGTCATCAGCTCCAGGATATGCTGGGTAAATGCAGGTGCCAAGCATGCATTCGAAGGTGGAATTACAAGTAGCTACAAAAAACACCATGCTCCACAACAATACCACATGAAATGTGGCGCAATGAAAAAATCAATCAAGAGGGCATTAGCTGACGAGATAGCAACACACTCTTCGGTATTTTTGCACTTGGGGATAATTGAGATGCAACGACATTGAGGGGAGTGAGGTGTGTAGGAAAACAAGTAAAAACATCCAAACATGGCGATTTCAATTTTTCAATACAAATGACGAAATCGCACTTTACAGATGCTGTCACTCGCTTCAACACGCCACCATCCCTCATCTATTTCAGTCAGGTAAGCTGGAAAATCGAACGAGCGAC